TACGTGATGTACGTTTTTTAGAGGGTGGTTAATGAAAGTGTTCCAAAATGCGACATTAATTTCTTGACGACCTAATATATATATACTGAACCCTAACACTATGGGTACAAATATCTATTGACCGTTTATTCTACAGGTTATATTTCTAGTTTATAAGGCTACTTTCAGAGTTTGGTGGAATCTATTGAAACATACCTACTAACTTTCCTTGACACAAACTTTCTGCCGAGTTTGGAGAAAGATGTTTGTGTTGTAATGACAGACTTGCCATCAGTGTACTGTTATTATATGTCTTTTTCTGTTAATTGATTGTATATTTAGCTAATACTGCATTAGCCCTTAGTTTTAAAACTAGGGTATCACAGTGAACCAAAAAAGCGTGCTTAAAATTTGTCATAGTTTATCGAAATGAAATTATAAATTTCAAAATAAATTTACAGAAGTCGTAGTAAATTATGATTTATTACATATAACGTAATTTTGAAACTTCATCGAGATTTTTTAATTTTGATTTTGTTTTTTGTTCCTTCGCGGATACTTAGAATTCAACAATTGTAAAGTTGTCTAGAGATATTTTTCACTTTATTCAAATCACATTTGATGACTGTTATTTTTATTGTCATGCGCTTAGTATTGAAGCAATACTGTAGATATGTGTGACAGAGCGTGTCATTCATCTTTTGTGTTTTTAAAAGCCATTCGCAATATCTCAAAATGATTCTGAGTGGAATACACTTAATACTATGATAAATATAACTATATTTAGGTAATAAGGACTAGGCAAAGGATAATTTCTTGAAAATAAAATTCGTGATATTAATTATTTCTTTATGACATATTAAACAAACTGAAAGGTCTACAGTGGTCGCTAGTCAAGCCATGACCAGGTGGTTAGGGAGCTTGACTCACAATCTGAGAGTTGGCCCAAGAGTTGGCGGTGGGTGGTGATGACTAGCTGCCTTCCCTCTAGTATTTCACTGCTAAATTAGCGACGGCTAGATCAGATGGCCCTCGTGTAGCTTTGCGCGAAATTCAAAATAAACCAAACCCAAGCCGTTCAAGTCTACAAATTATGGTCAAATAAAGGTATTCAGAATTACGAAATACATGTAACCACTAAATATTGATATAAGGATGTGCGCAAGTATTACAGTACTCTCTATATGATAAAGAATACCAAGAAATAATTCATTACAGTAAAGGACATAATACACAAAATGTTCGAACAGGAAACATTTAACTTAGAAAATGCCAGATTAACCAATTATTGAATATATTATCTAATCTGCTCTTAGGAACGTAGGTCACAGAAGCCTCTTCCTCCCTGTCATAATAATCATTTTAATATGTTAAAAGGTATATTTAAGGACAATGTAATTACTCTATGAATGGAAAATCCACAAAACGTTGTATCAATCTTGTTTAATTTTAATTACTATTAATACAGAATTAGTTTATAATGACTTTTAAATAGCCATTTTTGTTAGCGCGTAATATTTTATAGCCACGTTAATCAAAATTGATTAACATAGCAAAAGGTCACAAACTGGAAAACGTTTTCATATGGAATTGATTGGCTAAGCTATTTGGTGTTAGTCATTCACGCATACATTTAATGTTATCATTTTGTTTGTTTTGTTTTTCAATTTCGCGCAAAGCTACACGAGGGCTATCTGCGCTAGCCGTCTCTAATTTCGCAGTGTAAGAGTAGAGGGAAGGCAGCTAGTCATCACCACCCACCGCCAACTCTTGGGCTATTCGATTACCAACGAACAGTGGGATTGACCATCACATTATAACGCCCCCACGAATGAAAGGGCGAGCATGTTTGGAGTGACGGGTATTCGAACCCGCGACCCACAGATTGCTAGTCGAGTGCCCTAACCACCTGGCCATGACGGGCCATCATTTTCAATAAACATATTTGTGTGTGTGTTTGCGTTGTCTAATCACAACAATGATAAAATTGAAGAATTAATTACGAATAAGCACTTGGCTTTCTATTAAATTAAAACTTCAAAATGTACTTTTCTTATGAAATAGATATACGGGGGAGGGCTATCATGAAAACATAAAATGAATTCATAATGCCGTCTGCATCATATGATGAACCATTATAATATGAAGTCGTTTTTTGTTTGTTTGTTTTTTTACCAAAATGCTTGTTTGTTTGTAATTAAGCACAAAGCTACACAATGGGCTATCTGTGCTCTGCCCACCACGGGTATCGAAACCCGGATTCTAGCGTTGTAAGTCCGCAGACATACCGCTGTGCCACGGGGGGGGGCACTGAAATGCACCTGGAGGTTTTAGGATGCAAAAACTACCGTTTTCATTAAAGTTAAAACAAGTCATATAAGCTATCACATTAAAACTTCACCCATACCCCCCCAAAAAAAAACTGTTGTAACAAACATAAAGTTTAGCGATGTTGAGGGAGAACATAAAATGTGATTTCAACTCATTATTGTTTCAATTAAATATTGTACTAGGTGGTTTTAAAATTACGTTCGTTTATAATTATTGAACTTATTCATCGTGTAAAAATATAGATAAAATCTACGTATTTCCATTTGTTATTTTATATAATTCTGTTTATTCATCGTATAAGAAATACCTATAAAAAGTTGTATTTTATTCTTCGTCTGCTACATCCGTTCTTAATGTCTTAATGCAACCTTAATAGCTTTCACTAAGTAGTTTTATTTATTTTGAAATTTATAACATACAAGGTCCAATAGATGGCATTGAGATAAAATTTGAAACAAGAACAAAATATCTAACAAAGGACAAAACTAGATAGTCCTTGAAAATGCGCTTACATACGTAATTTACATAAATGACTCACCCGGGAGATAACTAATGTACCATACAGAAGAAACTGGTTGTCCAAAATTTGTATTCATACAAAACTTTATGTGTTCCTCGTTCGGTAATTTCAATAATACAGAAGTGTAAAAGTGGCCTATTTATATTGTGTTCACCACAGGGATTGAATCTCAGTTTTTGACGTTATAAGTCCTCAAATTTATCCGCTGAGCTACAGAGGGATGAAATATATTAGAAAACCTCTTTAAAGATCAAAATATATAATTAATAAAACTAACAGCATTAAGAAGCACCTAGGATCACCAGCGAACGCCTTAACATTCTCTGATCGCTAACACCTGAAAAATAAGAAAATGCTACAAACACGTTAAAGATTTTTGCCACTTTCTTTTTTTCATCACACCAGTAACCAAAAATAGTATAATATGTATATATATTTCTTTAAATTAAGATTTTAAAATAGCAAAGAAAAGGATAGCTATCACGGGGATAACAGTAACAACATATGCTGGAAAACCTTTACACTATTATGTATAGAAGAAGAATGGTTTCTTCAGATATCAAATTTATAGTTTAATTCATATGACGTAGATTTGCCCCTTCCATATAGCAGGCCCGGCATGGCCAGGTGGTTAGGGCAGTCTGAGGGTCGCGGGTTCGAATCCCCGTCACACCAAATATGCTTGCCCTTTCAGTCGTGGGGGCGTTATAATGTGACTGTCAATCCCACTATTCGTTGCCCCAAGAGTTGGCGGTGGGTGATGATGACTAGCAGCCTTCCCTCTAGTTTGACACTGCTAAATTAGGGACGGCTAACGCAAATGGGTTAGTTTGTAGTAAGAATAATTATTTTTAGTGGATTTTTCTCACCACTATATAGTTTTGTTTGGTATGTTATGAATTTCGTCATTTGATGGCAATGGCTTTGTTTGTTAAAGCTACACGAGGGCTACCTACGCTAGCCGTCCCTAATTTAGCACTGTAAGACTAAAGGGAAGACAGCTAGTCATCACCACCCACCGCCAACTCTTGGGCTACTCTTTTCCCAACACTACTATATAGATATCCCACTTTATGTATCAGAGATTCAGATGATATGAAAATTATATTACAATCAATCAATTTTTTCAGCACTTATTGTTAATATAACACAGCTTTCTGCAAGAGCTGTTGACATTCTCTGTATTTTGTGATCTAAGATTTTTTTGCCACATATGAAAGCAAAAATCGAATAAATTTAGTAGAACAGTTTGTTTGTTGATAAATATAAAGCTACACAGTAGACTATCTGTGCTGTACCAACCGTGAGTATCGAACCGCAATTTTTAGTCGCGGAATTGCAGCTCATAGAAAGGCTTTGAGGTTTTTTTTTTTTCAAGTACAATCGTTTAGCTCATAGCTTCGTCATCTCTTGGCCGATCTGAGATCTAATTACAGTTTTGAACTCAGGAGATCAAACCCTTTCGATCGATGTATTTTACCACGCCCTACGTTTCATAGATTAATTTAGTCTAATCCTGCCTAAAAAAATTTTAATTTGAGGGTGGGCTGGTAAAGATCCGGATAAGTAATAATATTGAATCGGCTATATGGGCGCCCCACGCTTGGTATTGCTGGCGCACAAACATATAGCTAATAAAAAGGAAATAAAAGGTCTCATAGATTAACTTACTCTAATCCTGCCTAAAAGAATTTCAAGTACCGCGGCTATTGAGGATTCCCTCTTGTTAGTGTTATAATATCTTAGACTTATCACTGAGTCAAATCTTAGGTACTTTATCATAAGATGTAATTTAATATTCCTTGAGAAAAGTGACACTGAGAAACTAAATAATGTATTAATTTCTGTTTCTTGAGATATTTTAGTCGCTTTAAAGATAATGCTAAATATTTTATTTTGGGTAACAAAACACAGCTGCTTGACCGAGTAAACTAAATACATAGTGTAATCAGACAAAACGGCATATGAAAGGTTCAGTAACTTATTCGATTAAACCAATCTCATTTTTAATTCCCCTCCCAAGTTATTCAGCAGTAATATATAGGGCTTATAACGCTAAGATTCGGGGTTCGATCCGTGGAGTGTCTCAAAGCACACATTATTCAGTTTTGCACTTTGAAAAAACAAAAAAACAACAACAAGTAAACAAAAACGTTTTAAATTTAAACGTTCGATTGTACACGGGGGACATCAAACATAGCTTGCTGTTGAAGTACCTGACCCAAGTCTAAATAACCACTGTCGCCCATCACAGTAACTTAACAAACAAAACCAAACCTTTTGATTTAATTTGAACGTTCAAGTGTACGTGGGGGCATGACATCAAATATCCCTTACCGTTGAAGCGCGTAACTTAAGTACGGATAAATACTGTTATCCATCTCGGTAATTTGAAAAAATATTAAACCAAACTAGAAGTGAAACAACAATTATTTCAGGATCAAAATTACATAATTATTTATAAATGGCGGCTATCTTGATTTTTTTAATGACGAAATTAGTTTTCTGACTTAACTGTTTAGCTTTGGTGCCAATCTTCTTGAATAGAGTTTGATAGGTTTCTTTTTTGTGAGTATAAAACACTTAAATACACCATTTCGAAAGAAAATCTTATTGTTGCTTGAATACATATATATATAATACAATGGTACTACCTATCGAAGCAATTATGAATATGCTATGTTTGTGATTTTTTTGTTTTGTTTTTAATTTCGCGCAAAGCTACACGAGGGCTATCCGCGCTAGCCGTCCCTAATTTAACAGTGTAAGACTAGAGGGAAGGCAGCTAGTCATCACCACCCACCGCCAACTCTTGGGCTACTCTTTTACCAACGAATAGTGGGATTGACCGTCACATTATAACGCCCCCATGGCTGAAAGGGCGAGCATGTGTGGTGTGACGGGGATTCGAACCCGCAGACTGCGAGTCGAGCGCCCTAACCACCTGGCCATGACGGGCCTGCTATGTTTGTGATGATTCATAACAGATATTTACTAGGCATTTATAACCCGTTCTATGCATCATTGATTTACGATATAGCTTTGAGGAGAATAAACATCTTGCAACGTAACTTATCAATTGGTATATTTACTCTTAACCAATAACGTTAACCAGATGTTATATTTTCTACAGACCGCAGTGTTTTTGTTATCCTAAGCACAGTTGTGTATCTTATAATAGAATCTAAATACTCATTAGGTTCATCGCTTGCATTTAAAAGTAATCAAGTGCAAATGAAAGTGGTAACGCAATGCTGACGTGTAAACAGTCCTACCGACAACAACTTAGACTGAAGATGACAAAGTTAAGGAAATTCCGCCAAGGTTATAGCATTATGTCAAGGTAATAACTCACTTGTAAAAATAATAGAACAAAACGTTTCTATTAATTAAAGAGTTTAAAGCGACGTATTAACTAAACGCGAGAAAAATTCAGTCTTACAATACATGTAAACAGAAGACTGAATTCTTATTTCATGAAATGTCACGGAAAACCTTATATATTTCACGTTTTTTCTCTCTCTCTCTCTCTCAAACATGAACATCCGCATACTCTCCATGTTGATCCAAATAAGGTCACATATGAAAGCCCCCCCCCCCCCAGTGGCACAGCTGTATGTCTGAGGTACACCAAATAAACCCAATGCATATCATTTGAGGATTAATATGTAGGTTGCAAATATATATATATATATAGCTCTCTAATCTGATAGACCCCAGTGGTATGTCTGCGGATTTATACCGCTAGAAACCGGGTTTCGATACCCGTGGTGAGCAGAGCACAGATAGCCCATTGCGCAGCTTTGTGCTTAACTTCAAACAAACACATGTGAAAATTCTCTTTGTTACTCCAAGTAAGGTCACAGTATGTGCAAACTCCTTATACTGCTTCAATTGAAGTCACAACACGTGCACGCTCTCCATGTTACTCCAAATTAGGTTAGAACATGCGCACATTCTCTGTTTTTTTTATTATTACATGTTTCTTCGCCTTAGATTTGAATCCGAGGTCTGTCGCACGCTGGCGAGTGCTCAACCAACTAGCTAAAGGACTAGCACCATGGCGCTTGCCAGTAAAATAATTCTAAATGAATCAAACTAATATATCTCTATGTTGCCTCCCTGGAGGTCAAAATATGTGCATACTCCTTATCCTGCTTCAGTTGAAGTCACAACATGTGCAAGGTTTCTATGCTACTCCAAGTAAGGTCACAACATGTTCAAACTCTCTATGTTACCCCAAGTAAGGTCACAACATGTGCAAACCCTCTGTGCTATTCCAAGTAAGGTCACAAGATCTACACACTCTTTACGCTCCTCCAAGTGATGTCACAACATGGGTCCAAATGAATTCCAATATATGAAAATTCTTTATATTGCTCCAAATAAGATCACAACATGTTCAAACTCTCTATGTTGCTCCAAGTAAGGTCACAACATGTTTAACCTCTTTAGGTTGCTCCCAATAAGATCACAACATGTTCAAACTCTCTATGTTGCTCTAAGTAAGGTCACAACATGTTTAACCTCTTTAGGTTGCTCCAAGTAAAGTCACAACATGTTCAATCTCTTGAGGTTGCTCCAAGTAAAGTCACAACATGTTCAAACTCTTTATGTTGCTCCCAATAAGATCACAACATGTTCAAACTATCTATGTTGCTCCAAGTAATGTCAAAATATTTACATACTTACTATACTTCTCCAAATGAAGTCACAATATCAGCATATTCTCTAGTTGTTTCATGTGAGGTCACCCACAACAAACGTATGTAACTTACAATTTTAATTCACTTTTTTCATAAAATGATAAGAAAAAGTACATAAAGACATTCCTTCACTGTTCTTTTACTAATATGTAAAATATATAGAGCTTCGAGTGATTTATCCCCATCAAGTGTCTAAAAAATTGTGAATGAATATATATATATATATGTATTTTACGTGAACATCTAGGAGTTGGGAAAAGCATTAGGGCCATTTAGATCATTTCCTATGGAGACAATATAATTGTATGGGCGCTACTGATTTCTTAATAGAAACTTTGACTCACACTGAGTTCTTCCAATTGTAATGTGTTTCTTAGCCCCATCTCAATTGGTTACATATATATTGTGATATCATGTCCAATTCTTGTCTACTTCTAGTACCTGTTTCGTGTTTTCGGATCTTAATCTGAAGGACTTGATTGAATAGTTAAGATAACTTAATAA